ATTCGCTCTTGCGTGAATTAAGGGAAGGCAACGCATCTGCAATAGCGGATGTCTATGGGCAGCGGTCGCTTTCCATTTCGGTGGATTCAGGTGCCGGCTTGCTCGTTTGCTACAATATACTATAAAAAAAATCACACTTTTATAAAGTACAAAGTTTTCAATATAACCTCATTCTAAAACAATTCTATTGCAAATTTTTAAACTCATTCGACCTGTTGTATGTAACAATATAAGACAATGGATGCTGCTACAATTGCACAGCTCTTGGCCTTTATCCCTGACCTGAATATTGGTTACGTTACCCCTACTATGTTATAAAAATTCATATTCTTTTGGCTTTACTTGAGATCAATACTAAACATTACGTGTAATAAGTGATTCTCTATTATTTAGTAAAAGACCTATATCTGAAATAATCACGTAATCTATGTGTTTTGAAAATTTGGATTTTTTTTTTCAATACCACATACTCGAAATTAGTTAAATAGCTTAGTAGGGGAAATCATTGATTTAAGTAAGTCAAGGTTGGCTGCTATGTGACGAGTCTGAAATAAGCTCTCATGTCGTTTAAAACCAATAGCGATGCAGATACATGGGTTTTATTTTTCTTCTTTAAAATTATTAATATTTGCTTACTTTTAGCCACGTAAGTTTAGCTAACTTAAATCTTTATCGTATAATTGTATTTATCTGCCACGTCAAATTTTAACAATTTACGATTTTTAGTTAAATTCGACTTTGATTTTTATATTTGACTAGCTTTCGCCTGCGAATGGGTCTGCGTGGAATTAAAAAAAAAACAAAATTAGGTAGACTATATGTTTTTACAGACTATCTTCTACATCTAGACCAAATTTCATCGAGATCCGTTAAGCAGTTAAGGCTATAAATTGTAACAAACATCCATCCCTCCATCCATCCAAACTTTCGCATGTAAAATATTAGTAAGAGTAAGAAGTAAGATATCAATCGGACAACCAATTTCCATGTTCTCTTTCACAGAAATATGATGTCTTAGCACAATGGAAAAGCAATTTATATGAATGGTTTGTGTTTAGCGCAGGCGGTCTGTTCGCTGGGAGACAAGAAATCTGCCTATTATTATTGACGGCCTCGTGCGGGAAGTGGCCTCAAATTATTATTTTTTATTTTATTCGCTTTCATAACAAGTCTCGAAAAGGAATCCACCAACGTATAACCATACGTTTATTACTCTTTAGTAAAATAATAAACAAATTACAAACGATTTTACATTTTGGAGATATTATAAGAACCCTCTTTTTTTGTAGTCATTTGTCTTTTTAGTCTATTTTTTAAGACCTCCTCTGTTTGAACCAACCGTTGATCTCTTTAATTACATTTTGACTGTTTTAATTTATTTTATAATAGCCTCACATGAAAAAAAAAGTACAAGAATAGTTCTAAATGGAAATCTACAAGCTGCAATCTTAGCTTGTTCTCGTGGAGTATTATTTTTATATACTTACCTCATCATCCACTTGCCCTTATCCCTTATGGAGGGTCGGCACAGTATGTGCTGCTCTTCCATACATCTCTATCAGCCGTCATATCTGAATCCACTCCTTTCTTAAGCATATCTTCCTTCACACAATCCATCCATACTTTCTTCGGTTTTCCTCTTCCTTTGTAGCCATCCACATTCAATCTCAACACTTTCTAGTTTACGTCCCCATCATTGCGTCGCATAATATGTCCATACCACGCTAACCTTTTGCTTCTCAATTTCTCCACCACTGGCGCTACTTTCAAACTTCCTCTAATGTACACATTCTTAACTTTATCCAATCTTGTCACACCACACATCCATCTTAACATACGCATCTCAGCCACATGCAATCTCCTTTCATCCGCAACTTTGGTGGCCCAGCATTCAGATCCATACAACACGACAGGTCTTATGATGGACTTGTAGATCTGTCCCTTAAGCCTAAGAGGCATTCTTGGATCACAAGTCACACCAGTAACCTGTCGCCATTTCATCCAACCTGCATTTATTCGGCTTTTTACGTCTCGGTCAACGCCACCGTCGGACTGGACTAGAGAACCGAGGTACTTAAAGTCGGAGCAGGTTGGTAGAGGCACACCATTTAAGGCGATTGGAGAGAAGCTGGTCGGACCGCCAAAATCGCAAAACAAATGTTCAGTTTTGGTCCTGCTGATTTTAAGACCAGCTCCCTCCAATTTAACCCGCCATTCTTCCAACCTGCTCTGTACCTCGCATTCATCCTCCCCAACAAGCACGATGTCATCGGCATAAAGCATACACCAGGGTGCCTCCTCCTGTATGTTTAATGTCAAAGCATCCATTACCAGGAGGAACAGATACGGGCTTAAAGCCGACCCCTGGTGTAAACCCACCGAGACACCGAACCTGTCACTATCGCCAGCAGCGGACCGGACGTATGTACTGGCTCGCCAGTACATGGCCTGAATAAGCTGCAGGTATTTCCCAGGCACTCCTTTTACTTTCAAAGCCCACCACAAAACATCCCTCGGAACCCTATCATACGCCTTTTCGAGGTCTACGAACACCATGTGCAGGTTCTTATGCACACGCCTAAATTTTTCGCACAGCTGGCGAATGGCAAAAATGGCGTCCGTAGTCCCCCGACCTGGCGTAAATCCGAATTGGTTCCGAGATACCTCACTTTCTTCTCTGATTCTTGCATCTACCACTCTTTCCCAAGCTTTCATACTGTGTGACATGAGCTTTATTCCTCTATAGTTGTTACAGTCCTGCACATCCCCCTTATTCTTATAAATGGGTACCAGCTCTCTACCGCACCACTCGTCTGGAATTTTTATATACTTACCTAACCATGATAAAGACTTTTTTTATTTTGCCAGCCCTAGACATTTAAGTACATTAATCATAAAGTGAACGCAATTTCATTCTCATTGGGAATAGCTTTTCACGGTATTTCGTAACGTATGGCTACGCGCTACGGGCGTAGCGGGTCTACAGGGAAATCTAATTAAGGGTAATGGACGCGGGCTTTGACCTTGTTTCTTTCATCCGAGGGACTTGTGATCGTTTTACCAAGTTTCACAGTATACACTTAGTTTAATCACTTTTCGATATAAATCATCCATTATGCTTTGGCGTGGTTTTAAAACCGTCTTAACAACGAAATTAAATAAATAAGGGATTAATACATTTTAATGAATCATTAATAAACATTTGCAATACAACGAATTTGAATAAATAAGGGATTAAAATATTTTAATGGTTCATTTCGAAACATTTACAAATACAACAATACGTTTCATATTTATACGTTGTAAATTTAAATTTGTCTCTTCGGGGAAATCAGGTACGAAACAGCGGTCTGTTGGAGTTTTTCATTTGAAAAAATGTTACCTATTCAAATATTTAATATCCCATTTTAAGCTGAAAACAAATCTTGCAAAATAACGTATATCAATTTTCTTTACCTTGAAAGTACGCCGTTCCGTTATTATTTTGAGTGCAATCGCTGTAGTGAACAAGAAAGTTGATATTATGCTTATCTCAGTTTACAAAATGAATGACAGAGATGACGATATGTTACGTAAATTCTCTTGTTTAATAACATCAGTGTCACTCTGGTGTCATCGTTCGGAAGTGAAAGACGACCACAAAACCACTGTTTATTTCCATACATAGACAACTTAGGAATAGGAAATTAAATTGTAGTTAGAAACAAATACCAAATGTATATACGTAATGTAAGAAAAGCTCTGACTTTTAGATGTAATTTAAAACAAACATTTAAATGTAGGATTTAGTAGAGTATTGTTAGTTTTAATCAGTTTTTTCGATAAAAAAATATCGTGCATTTTCCGAATTACAGTTGAAACATATTCGTCGGGTTAGGATGAAATGAAAATACAATACGAATGTAAATGTAATTTTATTTACTTACATATACAGCAATCTCAAGCACGAAAACTTATTCACTTCAGAATAAATAAATGTAATAGTGGCACAGTTTAACTAATACTGAGTTTCCATTGCAGAGAACATATTGTTTTATCAATCCGAGAGAGGAATGGAAATGTCAACTTGAGTGCTTTGACTTAAAAATCGACTTACAGTGGTAGAGCTTTAACATCTTAGCATGAATGGGCCGGCACGCCCGGTGTAATACCACGAACACACAGAAGACAGGCGTAAAAAGGAAGCAATTCCGTGTTTCGTCTGATGAGTTTGGTGCCGGAGGCCTAATTTAAATCCCTTTTTCTTTACCACCCTTTTCTTATAAGAGGAGGATGTGAAGGAGAAGTGGATTCGACTGAGGAGAAGATGCATAGGAAGGAGAAATATCCCCATTATGTGCTTCTCCTCCTCTGTCGAATAACGTTAAGCAACGCATCTACAATTGTAAATGTCTATGGGCAGCGGTCGCTTCGCCACT